AATAAATAGGGATATCATTTACAATATTAAAAAGTGATTTAGTGCAACAGAAAAGTTAGAAAAGGGATAGAAATTGCTAAGGTGGTGATGGTGTAGAAATTTGAAATAGGATAATCAAGAAAGTCTCAATACAAAGGTGGTATTTAAATAAAGACAAGGAAAGGGGAGTAAGCAATGCTGAAAGCAGAAGGAACAGCTAGTGTAAACTCCCCAAGGGAGGGAGGAAGGGAGGGAGAGGGAGGGAGGGAGGGAGAAAGAATGGAAGCATATCATCCAAGTTAGACAAAACACCAGCCCTTATAACTAAACAAAAGTGAGATAGTCTAATCTGCAACAAATAATTTTGACTTCAGGATACAAATACATACAAGTCAATCTCTCCCGGAGCTCAGGAGTTGGCGCCATATCCACAGCACTTTTCCCATGGCAATTGACCAGTGTAGGATCAGCACCATGGCTAAGCAACAGAGAGCAGACTTCTACACGATTCTTGGAAGCAGCCTCATGCAGAGGAGTAAACTGCCAGAGATCCATGGCGTTAACACAGGCTCCATGCTGAATTAAGAGAAAAAGTTTTAGGTCAGTAATCATTTTGCTGGATTAAATAAAGCTCAGAAGACATTTATTTCACTGTAAAATTCAGTTACAACTCTTTGAAATGTCAACAATATTTTAATTTCAGCTTTTATAAATAGTTTAAGCAATGATAATATTTTAAAACTGCTTTTCTTAAAAATCTTATTCACTACTAAACACATGAAAACTCATGACAAGTTAAAAAGAGCAAATGAAATTCATTATTTTTTATTTCTTTTACCTTTAGTAGCAGTTCTGTGACTTCATAATGTCCATATGAACATGCATTATGAAGAGGCACAAGTCCACTAAATGAAAAAAGGCAAAGTAAAATACTGAAATTTCAAACAACTTATAGTCATTTATCCAAGAAGTGCTAAGCAACAAAAATCTAATAAATCCTAATACAATTATGTTAAAAATATTTTAAAGTATTTAGTAAGATGATTCAAAGCACAGATAATTTAATCTTTTGTATTTCCCTTGTATTTTGTGTATACAATCCTTAAATATAATGATAAAAACACCAATTAGAGAAGCATTTAGGCAAAATGAAGAACATGTGCTGACAATTGCATGCTTTATATATGAAGTGTTTACATTAAATAAATGTTAATTGATAGAGAATTGAAAATTCCTACTCTTTTGTTTCATTTTCAAAGTAAGTACCAGCACAAGAATTAAATATCCAAACTACTATAACTTGCATTTTAAATTATCTTTCTACATGAGTCAAAGACCCCCTTTTTTGTGCTGTACTTCTCTTGATGACTCACCTATTGTACACCCATCTGTTTTCAGACATGCACAAGGAAATAGAGATGTACAAGAGCATCAGGCATTTGTACCCCTATACTATCGGGACACCATTCACATATGGCACAAAACCTGGCGCAGGCGAGAGAGAACAGAGTACGGAAAAGAGCAGATTTGGAATGAATGGATTCCCCCTTGGGTAACTGTCTCAAGTACTGAATTCTTTATTCATTTCTATGTTTCCTGACATGGAAAGGGGCAAACTGAAAGAAACCTCCTCCAGGGCTTCTCTTCTTTATGCTGCCAATCACAAGAGTATAATATGAATCTATTTACCTGGGTAGTAAGGTCAAGTTATCTTTTAGATCTTAAGGTGGGATAATGAGAAATGTTAGCCCATCACACAGGACAGCAAACTTGATTCATATGTCCCTGGAGACTAGATAGAAAACTCGTACAAAGTTTTCCAAAATACACTTACGCATAAAGTAAATGACGTGACAGCTTTCTTAGTCCCTCTGCCCTAACCCTCCAACCCCCACCACATCAACCTTCATACGGATCTTTTAGGTTTTCCAAGTTCAGATGTCCAAGATTCATCAGGGAAAAAACAAATTAGAATACTGTATAGTTATGATTTTGGTTTATTAATAAGAGATAATCTTTTCATTCCAGATAAATGATAGCTATATTAATAGATTATCATAATTTTCAATTTGTCTTATCTTTCTGAAATGCAGCTTGAGTTAAGAAATAACAATTGCAATTGAAACAAATTTTAAATAATAGAATTTCAATAAAATTAAACTAATTTAGGAAACTATTATGAGACGCAAGAAGTAGTATATGAAAATAAAATCGAAGTTGCAAACATTCTTAAAATGCTACACAAGCTGTAAAGAAATGGTCTATATGACTTTCTTTGCCTAGTGTTCAACAACTTCAGCATATAAGATGTTGAAAACAAAGCATAACAATCCATGAGCAAAACCACTAAAGGAAATAAACTGCTACACCTACCCTTTGTCTTTTGCATGAACATCAGCACCATGCTGAAGCAGCAGCTGAACTATCCGAACTCTGTTGTAGCCTGCGGCAAGATGTAAAGGCGTAGACTAGAAAACAGAAGAAAAACACACCCACTCCTTCAGGTAAATAATTCTTGCTTTACCATTTAATCTGTATTTGTTTAGATTTAAACACAATGAACGTTAACATACACAAAACATACTGAGTTAAAGTGTCAAAAACTCCTATTTCCTAATTGAATGAGGGACAATTCACTCACTTCAGGAGTAAATTCTAACTTCAGTGCCATGCACCTGTTTTCTCCTACTTTTTTTTTATTGTACATAGGTCTCCTTTTTTCCCCATTGACCTCCCCCCCGGCCATCTCCACCGCCCAGTACATGCCCTCAGCCCCCTAGTGTCTGTGTCCATTGGCTATGCTTATATG